AAAAATTAAAAGACAAAGTCGTTCTAAAAATATATATTTCAGACGATTACCATTTTTACAAAGTGTTCTAGAACAAAGTACAGACAGCTGGACCTTCCTTTTTAGGCTACACAACTGCCTATATTTAAAAAGTTCCTTAAAAACACAAAAAAACCAATAAATATTAAGAAAAAATCTTCTTTAAAATTGGAATGGTAAATCTTACGACGTCTTGTTACTTCATCTTTGTCCATTGGGTTTCTGGCTCTCTGGCTCTTTATCTACTGAGGATTAGCGCTGACAAATGTAGATTAGGCCGATATCCCTCTGGTGACGAATTATAGCGATATATTTGGATTTCCGTCAGATGAATAAACAGTGAAATAGATTGGATTTGGATTTTTTTAAATAATATATCATAATTACTATAAAATGGCAAAAAGGTTAATTTTGGGGGTAGAAATGAGTTTTATGAAAAAATTATAAATGTTAATAACGAGCAAAAATCTTCATTAAGTCCAACACCATTGGAGATATGACATGGCCCCCTATCTATCTCCCTACCTGCTTGACCTTTAACCATCAAAATTTAATAGCATCAATGCCTTAATACACAACCTCCCAGAAAAATTTATAAACTTTTCAACAAAAGGCACAGGAGTTAAAGCTTTAGTGAGTGAACAAAATTATGTACACACAAGCAAACAAACATCTTCTGTATTCTGTATATAAAATTCTGTATGTATGATGTTATACATACAGAAAAAAAAACCCCAAACTTTTTGCATTTCTCAATGTTTCAAGATACTGAGTCCAAAAATGTAAAAATCCTGGGGATAATATTTTGACTGATTATCATACTTTCATTCTGTTATTTATAACAGCTGGAAAAAAGATAATTTCATAGAATTCCAAAAAGTAAAACATAAATTTTAAAATCACACCCTCACTTCAACTCCTACATTTTGTCCTTATCCAATCTTAGGCATCTTTCACACAATCCAAGTGTTTGCCTAGATGAGTAAATACATGGTTAGGTAATGCCCATATGACATTGAATCATCTGGATTTCACCCAGGTACTTTCCCATTTGAAAATGAAAAATCTCCATAGTCCAGTCTAAGGATAACATACAGAGAAAAATTGTCATCCTTTGTTTAGTTCAAGAGAAGTACAAATATGGGTCCACCTTTTGGTGGAAAAAAGACTGCTTCTTGGAGCTTTCTATGTACAATTTGTAAAACTTAGAGCAGACAAGCAAATATTAAAATACTATTTGTTATATTTTTCATCATTTCAGACAAAGTAAATTTCAGAAAGTTTCAAAAAATAAAATTTGAATTTGCTTGTATTTTAAATACAGTAATACTCAGAGTTACATAACACATGACTTACATAATTCGCAGTAACGTAAAATGTAAATCTCAAAAATTGGAAAAAAAACCTGAGTAGAATAACATGTAATTTTACAAAGAGTTATTCTATTTCAAACATTCATTCATTATCTCTCTCTTCCTTTCTTTCTTTCGCACTATACCAATTTATTACTTTATTGCTCTAATCATCCTTTACTTTTCAGTCTAATTGTAAGTACGTATGCAAGTGTACCAGGCACTCTTTCTCGTAAACAAGGTTTTTCTACAGTACTAAGTGAAGGTCGAGCAGCAAAACCAAGCACATCTTCATTGCTTGTTTTTCTATATGTATTTTTTCATGTCATTACTGTACAGTAGTTTGCCTCGAGTGATTTGTTTAATACATAACCTATTAATATTTCAGATTATTTTTATTTCTTTCTTTGTTTTGTTTATATATGTACTTTGTATTTCTCTTGTTCTTTTATACAAAAAAATAATATAAATAATATATGTAGTACACATATATATAATAATAATAAATATAGTATTGAGTTATTAATTATATAGTTACACTTAAGCAATTTACAAATACATAAAATTTGAATTATGTAAAGGTCTATGGCCCGCATTACTTACGTAACTTGGGGTATTACTGTATTCAGTACAGCATTATTGAAGCAGAAAATACAGAAAATTTCAAGACATTTTTTTTCCTTGTGATTAGTTCCTAAACAATACAATATAAATAACATCCCATGTTCATGACTTACAAAGAATCTACATTGTATTATAAGCAATCTAAAGACGATTTAAAGTATACAGAAGAATCTGCATGTAATGAAAAATAGATGCAAATACTATGCAATTTTATGTAAGGAAATCAAGCTTATATGAGGTCCTGGAATGAATCCCACAGATACAAAGGAACATTTTATAAATATTTGGGCAATACAAGAGTAAGATTATTATTTTAAATTAAATTTCTTAATAAGAATTACCTAAGTCAGCAAAAGGATCAATTTTAGCATTAAGTGTTTCTAAATTAGGTGTAGAAGCATTTCGTGGAATAGTTCCTGTTGTTAATCTCTGTCCAGTAGTTGCAGCAGAAGGAGGAGGACCAGACTGAAATACAGAATCCCAACTTCCAAGAAGAGATGAATCATGTGAAGACATTGCAGCAACATTAAATGCAGATGTACTCGTTGGAATGTTAGATTTATGCTTAGAAAAGAAAAGGAATTATAAAAGATATATATATATATATAAATACATATTTAGGGAAGAAAATTATGGCAGATAACAGACTGACTTATAGCATTTAAATAATTTTATAATTTATATTTACAGTAATATAGAAAAAATAATAGTTACCTGAGGTGTACCATCTGCACTATTTGTTTCTCTCAAAATGTCAAAGCTTGCTTTTTGTCCAAAAGGATCAAAGAAATCATCTACAGGAGCAGCATTATCACCTGCTGCATTTGAAACATTTTCTTTCTTTAGCGAACTGAAAATATTTTGAGATTGTTGTTGATTATTCATAGATGGAACTTCATTTGTTGTTCCAAATGGATCAAAGATATCATCAAATTTTTCTGTGGAATGTTCAGCAGCAGTGCTTGTAATGAGAGGAACAGACTGAGGGTTACTCAAAAGATCAAAATTACTAGTAGTACGGACTATATCATTATCAGAAATATCGAGAAGACTAACAGCAGGTTTACTATCTGCATTAGATTTAACATCTCCAAGATTTAGTAAATCTATTTCAGGAATAGTTGTTTGTGGTGGTTTAGGTCTAGGAGGTGGAGGTCTCTTTGGTATTTCTTTGGATAAAACTGAAGATTCACTTTCTGTCAAATCATCAGCAATCTGAAAATTATAAATTTATTAAATCACATTGAAAATGACTTATGCTAAATCTAAATAATATTCTTATCTGCATAATATACCTTAGCTGTCTCACAAGATGCAGCATTTTCTTCATCTTGCCAATTTAAAGAAGCCATAAAATCTGCAGCAGTTACACCATTAATGTCCACACTTGGCCTACCATTAGCATTCTGTGTTGTAGAAAAATTACCTGTAATAGTATTATTAATAACAATTGTTATAATTGTGAATTTTGATTTTCAAATAAAATTTTAGATAAAATAATTTCATACCCAAACAATTCTCTAATTCTTCTTCACTGTTAAACAATATTTGTGGTGTTAAATCTAACTGTGATATTCCCAACCATGCACAAGAAGGATCTAAAGATTGCTCTTTATCAGCTACTTTCACATGTAAAGTAACAAAAAATCCCTCTGGATAGCGATCAACTTCCTCAATTCCATCAAGATCACACCTACAAAAAATCAGTTATTGACAAACACACAAATGAATTTTATTATTAACAAATTTAAAATAAAGGTGTTACCTGCTGTAATTAATTGTTTGTGTGCCTGGATTAATGAATCCTGTATGAAGTTGCAACTGAAATATCCTAATGGCTGTTACCTGAACATTCAATAATGATATATTTTTAATATTTTATCAAAATTGTTACTTTCTCTTACATTTCTCTTACTTGAGTGCTGAATTAAAATATTAAATAATATACAGAGTGTCCTACATAAAATCAGTCCCATTCACTGAAAATGATACAAATGAATTTAGGCAAAGAAATCTAGAAACTTTAACATTATTTAAATTTACAGAAACTTACAGAAGATACTGAAAGTGATATTCATGGGCATCTATGCACCTTTGTATGCACAGTATTTGTATGCAAGTATTTTACATAAGATCAATTTGAATATGTAACCACATTCAAACTGACCTTACATAAAATATCGATGTTGATAGCTTCAATGCTTCTGCAAATGCTTTTCTTCAGTTGCATATAGTTCTGAGATTGGTCTCATATATTTTCCCTTTTAAATAACCCATATAAAATTTACATCCTTAATGTTTCATCTCAGTTGGGTTGATTTTAGGTGGGACACTCCACAGAAATCATTTGGCATTATGAGGAATTAAAAAAGCACTGAAGCATCATTCTGAAAATATGTTTTCTGACAACCCTAAATTGTCATTATTGCTCAAATAGTTTAGCCACTAAAAGAATCTATAAACGCAAACGCTAATTAAAATGCATCTGAAAAACAAATTAAAACAAATACAATAGAGCATCAATTATCCAACTCGATTAGTGACTGGGGTTGGTCGGATAACTGAAAAGTATGAAAAAATACATTATTAGTATATCCCATGTAATTAGTATATTACTATTAACCTATTTTCATCAACAAAATTCTTTTTAAAATAATAATCGTCACTATTGTATCATTAAAAATTATTTTTAAATTATTTTATTGCTCACAAAACAAACAACCACTCATAATTAGAAAATTAAGCCTCATTTAAATACTGGCATCCCTTTCATGGTTGAGCCAGTGTTGCCAGTTAAAACACCAAAAATTTAACAAAAATAATATTAAAGTAGCCAAGGCATAGCCAAATATTATAGCGCCACATCACTAGCAGACATTTGAATTTGCTAACTAGAATGCAGTCAGTTAACCAATGTGACGGTTGATCAGAGGTCGGATAACACTGGACAACAAAAAAAAAAAAAAAAGCTTTCAAATGTTTCCTTTATTTCATGAGTGAAATCTTACTAATTTTGAGGTGAGAAAATTGAATATGACAAAGAAAAATTTTTATTAGCTCTAGTTTCTGTGGTATACAATAGGTGATTTTTAACAGCATAAGAGAAAACGATACATTTTAATTACATATGCTAACAACATTGAAAGTGCTTTTGAATTTTTTTAAAAATTACAGTAACATTCTAAGAGTTCTAAATTAATAGAAGAATACCTGGCAGGTGGTTTGGTATGAAGAGAATCATGTGATGACTTCATGAGATCGTTTTCTTTTGGCTTGCCTTTTGTAAGTGAGTTCTGGTGCATCCCTACACACAAACCAGCAGTAATCTGCAAGCATTACTTCATTCCAATGGCCCTGATATCTTTGTTCCAATACAGAAATATCCTGATGGAATCTTTCCCCATGTTCATCACTGACAGCTCCACAACTAGGAGGGAAAAAGTCTAGGAGGGAATGGAGAAAATGGATTTTGAGGGACATGTTGCATCCGAGTTGATGATATTTTTCCAGAAGTATTGTCACCGAGTGTAGTTATTGTATCTTTTGTTGATTAAGAATCCACGAATAACTCCCTTTAAGGCTTCCCAAGCTTCCTTTTCTTTTCCCTCCAAAACATGGTCAAACGCGGGATCCTTTACAAGTTTTCGAATTTGTGGCTTAACAAAAAATACCTTCCTTAATCTTTGCATCACTCAATCTAGGAAATTTGTCTCTTAAATACTTAAATACCTGTCCTTTCTAGTTCATACCTTTGACAAAAGTTTTCGTTAAACCCATCTTGATATGAAGGGGTGGAAGAAGAACATCTTTTGGGACCATGAGAGGCTTGGCAACGATATTTTTCTTGGTACAGTCAAGATTTCTTGCAGGCCAGTCCACTTGAATGTAATGTGATTTCCTATCCCTACTGTCCCACATATATAAAAAGCAATATATAGTGTATCCCAGTATTCTCATATATATACAAAAAGCATCATTGTACTCTTAGGAATGCAACTGGGATACACTAAATCCCAGTTGCATTCCTAAGAGTACAACGATGACTTTTAGATCACCACAAATTTTCCACTTGTGCTCAGCATAATTGATTGAGTCAAGGAGGGCTGTCATGTTTGCATAAATATATATTCTATAATAGAGTGTAGTTTATTATATGCTGATCTGAAAAGTTCTACAGGAAAAATGCCAACGAAAATTTGAAATAATTGAAAATGCACTATTTTGTAATAAAATATTTTTTACAAATTTTACTGTAAAACCTTTCTCATATATTTTTGTATTATTTACATCAATCATTTAAAATTATAATTTAAAATGATTGATGTAAAAAAAAAAATTTTAAATCTTTAGCAGATCATATTTTAGCTCTTGTAGACCACTGGTTGGGAACCGCTGCTCCAAAGCAAGAGCTAATCGGTCATTTTTATAGTGATTTTTTGAATTCAGCAGATGAAAATACATAGGAATATGTTAATTTTGAGCCCTAAACAACATCATTGTTGTCCAGTGTAATCGATGCTCTACTGTAAATTAACTGTGCATTTAATAATAATAATAATAATAACTCTCCTGAGGTCACCACCTGGTCGTGGTGGGAGAGCCCAGTAATTTTACTGAACCATAGGGCAATGCAGGCTGGAGCACAAGCTCCTGGTAGGGACACCCATGCCAGTAAGGTCTATGGGGAGAAATGAAGCTAAGAGTGACCACACACCCACATTATGTGGATATAATTATCATGGTAGTAACCAGATCTAAGTATGATACCGGCTTGGACGTCGCCCAAGTTAACAAGGTCAACGTTCGTGGGTTAGGCAGAAGCTCACGTTCGAAAAATAGGCTCCAGTCTCCCTTGGTTACCAGTGGCGAAAGCAGCACTGGCCCAAGTATGGCTACTGCAATGCCCTCAACAGATATGAGGAACCAACCTAGCCTTGGTGTTTCTTTGGCAATACATCCACAGACCATAAAGGCTGGAAAACCACGCCAACGGATGAAAGGGACATCAGAAATGAACGAGTTTGTCATCCGCACTTACTATGCAATCACAAAACTCGAAACAAACATGACAGCATACAGACAACAACTATACCATAGATTCTCACAACAATATCCTCACCTCACTGTCACAGAACAAAGGGTTGTTGATCCAAAAGAACAATTATACACAACAACCTTATCCCACAAACAACACTTGAACTTATCAAACAACAGGTTGCTGATCAAATACAACAACAGACAGAAACATTTAACATTATTAATGAAGATCACTTAACCTGTCAGGATAATCCAGCAACAAGCATTGATAATAGCACACATACAACAACTACAACTAATGATACTACAGGCACTTCCTCATTGATCACTGATAACATAGACATAGAATTAGTTAATACTCTCTCACTTATATTTCAGGAAACACTCACTAAATATACAGGCACAGATCCCACACAAAGACCACGAATACCGAAAATCAACACGTCAAAGGTAGTAGGGAAAACACTAAATTATGTAAACACTCACTTACTACCAAACTACATTCATTCAATTTCTACACTCTCAGACATTCATACATTAGTTTATGCTGGGGCAGTCACAGTAGTAACACACCATGGACTGAAAATACACTCACAGACAGACACACACAAAACACAATCCTATCACAAGCCTGCCTGGCAGAGAAGAATAGAAACACAAATAAATGACATTAGACAGCAATTAGGCAGGCTGACACAATACACTAAAAACAACATAACACCCAAATTAAAGAAACAACTCAAAAACATTTTCAAGAAAATCAAAACACACACAAAACACGAACATCACAACACACACATTACAGAATACATCGATACACTAAAACAAAAACTCGCAGCCAAAGCACGTAGACTCAAACGATACAAAACATGTACACTACGAAAACAACAAAATAAATTATTCACAAACAATGAAAAACTTTTCTACAGACAAATCAGTACCAAAACAAACACTGATACACAGCACAGTGGCACACCAACAGAAGAAGAACTCACAACTTATTGGTCTTCTCTTTGGTCCAATGCTGTTACACACAATGCTGATGCAGGCTGGATCGAGGAGGAGAACAGAAACTTGCACAACATACCAACTATGCCCTGTGCTGAAATAAACGTACACGACATTCGCTACGCTGTTAACAGAACACACAACTGGAAGACACCTGGTGTAGACAACATTCACAATTTCTGGTACAAAAAGTTTACATCACTGCACCAGGAACTAGCTAAACATCTAACACACATCATCATCAATCCACAAGACATGCCAAAATTTCTTACTCAGGGCATCACCTACATGAAACCTAAAAACAACAAAACCACAGACCCCACACAATACAGACCAATTACATGTCTTCCAACACTCTACAAATTATTGACATCCTGTATCACAAACAAAATATACAAACATGTTGAAGAACACGACATTCTTACAGAACAACAAAAAGGTTGCCGTAGAAATCACAGGGGATGCAAAGAACAGTTACTCATAGATTCAGTCATTCTACGGCAAGCACACAAACAACACAGAAACATACACATGGCATATATAGACTACAGAAAAGCATTCGACAGTGTTCCACACAGTTGGCTGCTACATATTCTACACATGTACAAAATACATCCATCACTCATTGCATTCTTCGAAAACACTATGCAGCACTGGAGAACAACACTACATCTCAGGGTTAGTAACACTTCCATACAAACAAACGAAATATTCATTAGGCGAGGAATTTTTCAAGGAGATTCCTTGAGTCCTCTCTGGTTCTGCCTAGCCCTGAATCCATTATCCAACATGTTAAACAACACGCAATACGGCTACAATATCAGACACGAAAAAACAACACAGTTTACACTCTCACATCTCATGTACATGGACGACATAAAACTTTATGCATCCACACAAAAACAACTTCATCAACTCCTACAAATCACACATTCATACACTAAGGACATACAAATGGAGTTTGGCCTAGACAAATGCAAAAAACTTCACATAGAAAAAGGAATCCTGAAGAAAGAAGATTTTGCACTTGGAAATGGAGACGTTATTGAATCCATGGAAGAGGGCGAGTTCTACAAGTACTTAGGATTCCAACAGGCCAAACTAACAGAACATACACAAATAAAGCAAAGATTAATTAAAGAATACCAAAGTAGGTTAAATGCCATTCTCAAAACACAGCTAAATGCAAAACACACAGTTAAAGCAATAAACACATATGTCATTTCGGTACTCACATACTCTTTTGGAGTTATACATTGGACTCACACAGATCTCGAGCAACTCCACTCCAAAGGAAAACAAGAACAACACTTACTAAGCATAAACAACATCATCCTAAATCCGCCACAGAAAGATTAACCCTTCCACATAAAGATGGCGGACGTGGCCTGATTGACATTATAAACTTTCACTACAAACAAATACAGTCACTGCGAGAGTTTTTCTACAGGAAACAAGAAACATCACAGTTACATAAAGCAGTAACTCTAGCAGACTCAAATAACACACCATTAAACTTATACTCACATCATACAGACTTGACACAACATATAAAAAGCATAGACACCATTAAGCAATCGTGGGCTCAAAAGGCACTCCACAGCAAACATCCTTATGACCTGACTCGGGATTCTGTTGACAAAACTGCGTCAAACAGCTGGTTAGATCGGGAATGCCTCTTTCGGGAGACAGAAGGGTTCATGATTGCCATTAGCAGCAGCTCATAAATACTAAAACTATAGAAAACACCTATTCAAGATACAACACTCACAAATGACACATGCAGAAAATATCACATCATGCCAGAAACTATACAACACATCACTCCTGGTTGCAAGCTCTTGGCACAGACAGATTATTTACACAGACATAATGAAGTAGCAAATATAATACACCAAGAGCTTGCAAAGAAACACAACTTGGTAGACATTCACGAACCATACTACAAGTATATCCCACAGACAGTATTGGAAAACAACACGCACAAAATGTACTACGACAGAGCCATAATCACAGATAAAACAATTTACCACAACAGACCAGACATCACACTCATTGACAAACACAATAAAATCACATACATTATAGACATAGCCATTCCAAACACTCACAATGTACAAAACACATGCACTGAAAAAATTAGCAAGTACACAGAACTCGCCCAGGAAATAAGGCATCTGTGGAGGATGGATAGGGTGCTTATTGTACCTGTTGTTCTCTCCTGTACAGGTGTGATACCACACACACTACACAAAAGCCTGGGAACATTACAATTGAATAGAAATACATACATCACACTACAGAAGGCCATATTGAATACATGCCATATTATTAGGAAATTCCTGAATACAGACACTGACACACTTATTTAATTTTTGTTTTTGGTTGCTATGCCTTGACTCTGGTCCGGCCTAGTACACAGCCACTGGTGTGAACCAAGTAACCCGCTAAACCCAACATAATAATAATAATAAACCATTAATATTATTACTATTATCACTGAAATACCATTAAAGGTTGAGCACAACTCACGAACTGATAATTAGATTCAAAATCATGAATATTTGATTTTAACATTCTGATTTTACATAATTCACCAAACTTAGAAGTTTGCATTGTCATCAACATTAAACCTTTTATTTTGAGAATATTAAAAATTCAATATATAAGTAATCAATCTGTTATAAGAGATTAGTATAAATATTTATAACTAACCTTTCCTTGTACTTTTCCGCCAAATGTAGAACGGGCATGATAGACAGCCACTGAGATGTCTCCCATAGTAGTTACATTTAAAGGTATGGTCACCTGGTTATCAGTCATATTGTAATGCCTATTCAAATTATTTAAATTATTATTGTAATACCTAGTCAATTTTAAGTTTATATTTGTTTCTAACTATTTAAATTCATTATCAAAATCAAATTACTTTATTTTTTCATATTCTTGTGAAGTTGTCAGTAGTCTTTCTTCGCCTTTATGAACTTCTGCAAATGGTCTACAACCATCCCTTTAAGAACATATATTTTTAGTATAAATAAAAATAATTCATATGTATATGTAAAGATAAAAAGTTGTACCTGAGTTTTGTGAACAATGGTACTGGTTTCATTGATACTGATACAAGGGTAATTAAATACTGATGAGGAATTACTGGACTTGGAGAAACTAAGCCTGATACATAATGTATATACCTAAAAATAATCTTATTTCCTATACAAAAACTTTACTATATTAAGAGGATACTTTAGATTGAAAATTTTACCTCAGTTGTGATGGAACTAAATTGACAGGACACCGTTTAATTGCAAACATTTGCAATGCCTCTTCTGGAGTTTGAAACAAATGACAAAAGACAAGAAAACTACAGACAAGAACAGCTGAAGATGCTTTACCATCCTAGAAAAATTATCTAATTAGGGAACTGTTAATTTAAATTATTTAAAATAAAAATTTCCATACTAACCAGACAGTGAATAATACAAACATTACGAATATCCTGTTTCAACCAGGAATGCATACTTCGACAAAGTGATATTAGAGTTTGAAGAGTTGGTGCTTTCCTCATTGGCCAGCCAGCCTCAGCAATCTTTGCATTAAACTTAAATGAAGTGTAACTTCTCCCAGAAACATTGTAGATAGCATAATGATTTCGATGTCGTGCGTCCAAAAGACCCCTTACATCTTCAACATGATTTCTATATGCTGATTCTAACCCCTCTGCAGGATATGACATAACTGGCAAGATAAAATTTAATTCAATTAAAATGTAAACATAAAATTGATAATATGAAAGATATAATTAAACTATAAAAGCAATAAAAATTACCTGCAATTCTACTTGTGATATAATTAAAATCTAAGTCTTGCCTTGCTATTGTTCTAAAATAAAATTTAAAAAAAATGAATATTACAGAATTAATAAACAATAAAAACAGTAAATTTTAACACAGTATAATCTATTTAATATAATTACTTTGGGATTTGCCTAATTGACACTTTATTTAATATTCCATCAATTAGAAATCAAAACCTCAAGTATATTTCCTAAAATTTTATGAGAAATAAAAAAACCATGGTTTTGAGGAAACAAGATTTTGAGTACAAGATTGCAAATTTTGACAATGTCAAAGAGAACACCTAAAAGATACATATCACTTATAAGGTTTGGTAGTATGTAGAAATTGACTTTACAACCTCACTAATGCAAAAATGTGATTTTGACCCATTATTGGAAATATCAGATTTTGGTCACCAACCGACAATAAGTTATCATTAAGTAAATAATAGTATAATTCATTAAAATTCTGGCTTTATTGACTCTTAGGTTAACACATTTCAAAATTATATAACTTATAACTATAATCAATAAAACTTCATTATTAATAAGTAATTCATTCAGTAAAGAAAGTAGTCAGCAGACAAGTCAAAGTCAGAAATGCCAGAAATTTAAATTACTGTATGATGTTAAAACATTGGTAAAGAGTGATAACAATAACCGATAACTATTTCATGTCCAACCACACCAGTCACAGCCACATAATATGAGACTGCATAAAAATGCTTTATACCCAAAGACAATAACTAAATTCTGATTATATAAGCAGAGTTTTTAGAGCAGGTTTTAATTTATGTTTTAGAACATGATAACCTATCATACTATACCAGTGACATACCATAGTAAAATGTAATGGTACTTAGCTAGGCTACATTTTTGTCTTAAGAATTGAGTTTTGATATGCAATTATATATAAAGCTTCTTTACCATATTTGAAGCATAACCACTTCATCTAATGATAAATGAAGTCAAACATATTGAAAGCATTCTTGTTAGTGAAAAGTAAAATTTATTATAGGTTAAATGACTTAAAACAATTAAGGAAATTTTTGGCAAAATTGGATATTCTGGAACAAGACAAATTATTTTCTTTAAAAAAATAACTTCCCTCAAATTAAGAATTTCCTTTAAAGTAATCCCTGTTTGAAACACCTTTAATTTAAGAATAATGAGGAATAACTAAGAAAAAGAAATGAATAAGAATAAATGAATGAAAGTTTATTATAAAATAAAAAAAATATATTCTCCTATTTCCTTACACACCTTGATAAAACAAGCTATGCGTATTTGAGACTAATCATCACAATTCATATAGAAAATGGAACTTTACTTGGTTTTTTCATTTGTTCCTCTCTCTTTTCATAGATTATCATAGCAACATCTGCATTTTTTACTTCTTGACTTTGCTGGATCTTCCTATTTACCTAGTTAATACTAAGGTTTTAATAACCATCTATATATGACTTCTCCTTGAATACAACTTTGATTTCTAGGTAGAAGACTAGAACAGCCTCTCAAAATTGCTGTATATCTATTTGTTTTGCATTGATCTTGGTATAAATAACCTATGCATTCACAAGTTTCATGTGAATTCCATGTTCAAGTTCAAAAAATATTTTATACAAGCCACAAGATATATCACATCATAAAAGAAATATCACAAGTCAAATTTAAAAAGCCTAATTATTAACTCATACCATCTGGACAGTGAATTTTGTTGGTGGTTTTGGTGCAATTTAACTAATTATGAATTTTTGTTTTCTGTTATAGGTAAGATAATCAATTTTGATTTAATATGTCAAAGAGGAAGACATATTTGCCTATAAAGCTAGACTAGGACAAAAATTTTTCACGCAGATACATTACAGGAGACTAAAATTATGGATTTGTTACAGGGAAATCTTTATGTAAAAGATGGAATCTCATTATTAATTCAATTAAATTTAAATCAAAACATTAAGTTAGAGAAAATGATTGAAAAAGTGAATAGGATATTCTCATGAATGGAAAACTTGGATGAGGTGATTGTGGGATTTGAATCTAGATTGAAGTTACTAAAGAAGTTGATGCAGGAGGAGAATTTGGTTTCAACTGCAGAATGAGTGAATTTGCAATGGCAAATATCAGAATTTAGTTTAGTATGGAGCAGAGTATTACAAATGTTTTGTAAGACGCAATAATATGGTTATTTTGGGTCAGATCAGAAGGATAAGATCCAAATTAAAAATACTATGTTAACCTTTTTTTTGCATCAAGTTGAATGTTGATAATGATATAGATGTTTCCTTTGTTATAGATTAAAATATTGTAAAACTGGAAGGAATATATTACTTTTTTGTAGTTTTGAATTATAGTGATAAATTTAAGATTATAAGTATGTTGTATAAGCTGAAAGGTTCTGATATTTATATAATGGATGACTTGACTAGAGAAGTTAAGAAAATAGTGAGAGCCTTTGCTAAAGAAAAAAAAAAGGAAAGGAGCACAGTAAAATGATGGCAATGCAGGTAAGCTGAATGATAAGGTTTTCACTTATAACACTTCCTCAAAGAGGATGGAAATGCAAGGTGAATCATGACCTCATTCTGATATTTCAATAATGTCATGGAACTGTGAGGAATTTTGAATAAATCTTATTTGTTTTGACAATTTTCGAGGTTGTTTTCTATTGGAAACTTGGTAAGATGGTAAATCTGCTATTGAGGAGTTCTGTGATCATGAAAATTTTGTAATTATTGAGGAAACCTGTTATTGCGAGATTAATTGAGGACATTATATAAGAGGTTAGATGCTTTTGTTAAGCAAATTGTTAACTTAATAGAGTTTTGGTACATAACAGGTTTTATTTAGTGATCAAAATAAAGTAAATAATAAATTTATTTTTTGTTTTTGTATCTAAGACCTATTATTTGAGAAGATATTTGGAACGAGATTGTTATGGTTGTTCAAAGCAGGGCTGCAGACTCGGTAAAAAACACTCAACTCCTGATAATTTTAGTAGACTAACTCTGACAAAATTAAAAACCAAGTCATTTTATGGAGGGGGCAGAGGCAGTCATAGGGGGCATCCTACTCTGAACTCTGAAAGGAGTCCTGGGCATTTACCCAAATACTTTTATAGTTAGTATTTTTAATATTTAACTTACATTAATATTTATTTGTATAAAAAATTAATTTTTAACAAATATTTAATAAGAGGAGAAAGGGGAACGATAAAATTCAACATTTACATATATTCAACAGCATTTGCACTTCAATTTCACCCTTTCAGAAGAATTAGTCCAACTAAAAAGTGTGCAATCTAGCTACTTCAGCCCCTTGTTCAGAAAAGAAAAATATATCAATTAGTCTTGCTCATTCAGAAAAATAGAGTACTCATTTAGAGCAGGGATGATAAAGATTGATTCAAAAATATTCAAATTCAATCAAGTCAAAACAATTTAACTACTAAACACAAATACTATATAGAAAACTACATATTTAATAAATTGTTGCATTTTGTATTTAAAATAAATGAATTATAACAAAATACAAAAACATTTTAAAAAATTATTAAATTTAAAATAAATTTTCTTTCATTTAAATAAAAAACTGAATTAAATTTGAAATGCTGGAGTCAACACATTTTTCCTGACTCCGACTCCATAGCCCTGATTCAAAATTATAATGCTGATATCCTAATGGGTGACTTTAATAAACATACTGGAACTGACCTAAAGGATTGGCCCTGGAAATTTTGGGTGAGTTAGACTGATGTTGGTTATTGAGAATATTGCAGGATCTGATAGTAAACATGCAAGTTAAATCAATTTTAAGTTTGTGAGAATTTTGGCAATCTGATTATGAATGGTAGAGATTAGAGAGCCACTAAAGGCTGTTATTCTTAAATGAGTTCTTTAGGTAATTCAGTTATTGATTTGGCTCTAATTAGGTGTTATGTTACCGGTTCCAGGTTTTGCAGTTTTGGATGAAGTATTTAGTAGTAATTTTCCTATTAGGCTGAATTTAAACTGTAATTTGAAAGAGAAATTTACTAAGATAGTAGCAAAGCCAAGATCAGTAGACTCCAGGCTATTTTGGAAGAATGATTGCAGTCTAATGGTAAAGCCAATTGTGTTTAATTTGTATATTAACATCTTTGTTAAGAAATTGTGTACTTTAGAATTACTGGAATGTGATCTGGGAGATTGTGATGTTAAGATTCTTACTTACATGGATGATTTGGTAATGTTGGCAGATTCAATTGGATTACAAAAAGCTATTAATTTCACTGTAGAGGCCATGCATAAATTATGTCTTAGTATTAATGTCAACAAATCTAAGGTCATGGCATTTTGTAATGGTTCATGCTAGAATAGAAAAGTGGTATATTAAGCATAACTTGATCAAAGAAGTGAATAAATATAAATATTTGGAAGTAGTTTTTCAATCAAATGGAAGATTTTCTAAGCCTTCAAATCATATTGTTAATAAAGCATATGTCAGTATAAAGATGATTATTCAGGTATGTGAATCTAGCAGATTAACAGCGTGGTCAGATAAGATGACATTATTTGTAGCTTTTGTTCAATAGTCAATATTTTATGGTTCAGAAATTTGGGGCTTTTCCTGGATAGAAAGAGAAAATGCCATTCAATTGAAGTTTATTAAGTGCTTTATTCCTTAAAGAGATTGAAATTCTAAATAGATTAGATAGGAGGGAATTCTGTTTGTTCTGTTAAAATTTAATATAATAAAAAGTACCGTAAGATGGACAGGTAAATGCTCAGTTAGTGAGCTTACAGTCAATGCAAAAGATGTATTTATTTTGCAAAAATTTGCAAGGGGTAATTAATTGTTAGCATTATTGGAAAGTTATGATTATCGAGGTCATGTATTTTTGTTAAATTCAATAACCATGTCTGATGTGTTGGTAAGAATGGTGGATAATTATTTGACTGATTTTAAAAATAAAGCTTCAGAATATAAATTTAATAAGTGGTATTCTAATTTGATAGATTGGGGCAAGCCAACATACTTAAATTTTGTGAAACAGTTTAAGGTGGTTTTAGTGGTATTTCATATACAATGTTAACATGTTTAAAAATATGACCTCTCCAAGAATGGAATATTGTGCATTTTTTGATTTAGAAGTTACTTTTGATACCTATCAAGTGATGGCTTAATGTAAAGCTATTGTAAACAAAAGGGTTTTATATTTTGGAAAAGAATTCTTGTCAAGATATGACTTTATAACTTTGTTACATAATAATAATAAGAACTAGTATATTTGTATGTATCAGTTTATTGATAATATTTAATATATTTATTTTTTTGTTTGTTTAGCCACCAGGAGATTTAAAGTTTATAAAAGTGGCAGTCACTGTTGGTGATATTGACAGTGAATTTTGTCAGTGATTTTGGTGCAATTTAACTGATTACAATTTTTCCTTTCTGTTACAGGTAATATGACTTAGTTTTATTTTATTTTCTTTTAACTGTATGTTATGCCGACAATTCACTGCCAATTTATGTTATGTATAATATGCTGTTTTTATTGTTGTTGTTTTGCCCATACAGATAGATATTTACCTTGTACTAATAAAATAAATAAAAAAATATTTAAAAAAATAAATAACTCATACCATCTGTGGACATACACAAAAATTATTATAATCTAATCCATCATAAATATAACATAACATCCTAGTATATCTAGTATTTTAGATCGTTTTAAATCTAACAAATAGTATGTTTCAAGAGAAACAACAGAGAAACTCCTTTATATTGTGAAAGTGTTAGAAAGCCAGGAATAAAATATATTTGTTATTTGATTGGATTCAGTTCCTCCTTTAGAAATCATTACCAAAAAAAATGTTGCATTTTTAAAAGTAATGGGCCAGTTTGTAGATATTTGACTATTTTCAAACTAAAATTAAGCTAGTTATTAATCAATCAAATTATGGAATAAGCCAAAATGTTTATTAACCAAAATTACGAAAAAATATTCAAAAGTCTTCAAGTAATTATAATTATAAAAATTTTTTCAATAACATATATATAAATAAAATGCAACATATCAATTTAAAAACAAGGATAGTATGTCACCATTTAAATAAAATGATACAAACTATTAATCATCTTTTACTTCCCAACACTTCAAACAATACAGTAAATGATTATTTAACAAATTTAATGTCATTAGCAAAAACTAATTATTTTAATATTTCACTTACTGATGTACAGTTTGCATTACTCTTGATGATGTATCACGAATATTTTTCAGCAAGCTACCTGCTCCACCCCTTAAAGTATTAAATAAACCAGCACTACTGTTATTAGCTAAATTAGTATTCATTTGTTGTTGAGGATATTGCACATTTTGTTGATATTGAGAAGTTTGATGTAAAGGAGATTCATGTTCGTTGCTTGATTTTCTTGATGATACAGGAATGTGATGAGCTGAAATTATAAGTTTATAAAGTTAAAAAAATTTTATAAGCTTATTATTTACAATAAATTTAAGTGTAGTAATTTATATGATCAAATTTTCAGTTAAAAATAAATAAATAAATAAATAGAGACCAGGACTAGATGGCACACTTCCAGTTTTCTGTCCTAATTTTAAAGGATCATCCAAATTCATATGCTGGGTCTCAGCTATTTTACGTAATCTTTCTAAAATAGCCTTCACTGTTGGTCTGTCATCTGGATTCAATTGAAGTGTTTCTTCTAATTATTTAAAATATACAATTATAAGTTTTTAGCAAGATATTATCATCACCATCATCATCAAAGTATTATTTCTATAAACCTTACTTATTAAATCATGCAAGTCTTCATATTGCACATCATTTGGAGGAATAGTATATTTAGCATTTAATATACGCAATTTAGCAGAATCTTCAAATGGATGTTCCCGAAAACACAACAGAAATAAAATACAGCCTAAGCTCTATTGATAAAATATATATGTATAATTGTAAAAATACAATTAAAATAATTGAAAATTAATTAATAAAAAAAAATATTTAAGAAAAATCGTACCCAAACATCCATTGCCTGATTAATAGAATAATTGTTGTAAGTATCCAAAATCTCTGGGGGACGGTACATTGGAGTTGTGTGTTTACACATCTGCAAACAAAATTTATAAGAAATGTCAAAATATACATTAATTTTATCAAAATATACCAGATATTATATATATATATATATATACATATATACATATACAGTATATATAAATTTTGATGTAATATATAAAGAGTTTACTTTCTCTTTTTCATCTTTCCCTATTGCACTTATAACATTACAATTCAAATGGTTTGAAACCATAAGAAATATGATTTCTGCCACTTATAACAGATCATTCATATATCTTGGCTGTGCAATGTACAGTACTTGGCTAGGGTTCTGAAAGTTTAAAAAAAATTACCCCTGCAATTTCTAACAACTTTTTAAAAACTGTCAAGGTTTATGACATTCATTTAAAATTACTTTAGGTTTTTTTTAATCTGCTGGAAAAATTGTTTAAATTAGTGATTCCCAACCCATCAAGTGTGTACCCAGGGGTATATGCTTGATGATTTAGGGGGTATGCAAAAAGATTAATAATGGTACATATAAGCCTACTTAAAGAATACTACTGTAAGAACTATATGTAAGATTACTACTGTAAGAATATTTGAGTTCTACATTGAGGTTTTTGGAAACCTCACAGCACTCAATGTTTTGTTTTAAATAGAAATATGATTATATTTTTATTATATTTATCTGTGTCCTTCCTCCAATACTTTTCAATTTTATAAAAAGTTTTTACATGTAATTGTATGCACCGTATAATTGGCCAAGATGGCATTGTTTGAGAAACATGTGAAATAAAACTTAGGAAAATGGGCTGCCAAGGAGGGAGTAAGAAAGTGAAAAAAGGTTGGGAACCACTGGTTTAAATGGTTAAGACATCAGTCTACCACATGGAATTGAATCCAGGTAGACAAAAAATTCTCAATAAGTTTTTAGGGATGGTCTGTCCTGGATATATTGTCCTGTTCCTCACTACTTGGTCCATTGTGGGTCTGGTCAGATCTGTAATGGGCTTGGAAAAAAAAGGTTCTTTTAAGAGCCCACAAGACAGAAAGAGTAAATTGTACAATATATAATTTGGATTTGATTGATGAAATAAGGCAACCTAACAAAATGGGTGCCTCCTAGGAGAACTTTCTATGGGAAAATGCTCCTATTTAGGTGTTAAACAAATGAAGAAAACCTATAAAATTCCATTAGTGAGATACAGATTTGTGACCAACTACCAGTGTTCAGTAGTTTTATCCACTATAAAATAAAAAGATTTTTGTTTTATAGATATAACATTTAAAAACCAAATTGCTTTCATTAATAAACAGTAAAAAGTAATTACAAGTAAATTCTTAGTTTATTCTAGTAATTCTCAAACTTTGGGTTATAGATCCATGTGGACTATAAGACATTTTCTGGGAGCTATAAAACATTTAACTTATCTACAATACATTGAGTAATTAATATTTAAAATTCTTTTCTTTTTATATATAATCTCTCATATTCATATAAAGTAAATATAAGTATGTATAGGTCTACTGCTGTCTATTCATTTAGTTCTAACAAAAATCCATAAAGATTAGAGATAGCAGTGGAAAAAGTACTAAAGCTCCATTATCCTGATTATTGTGTGTGTAGAAAGAAAAACAGGTTTAATAAATAACTTCATTTTAATATTTAAATCTAAGCAGTAAACCAGTGATAACATCATGATATGATCTGGAATAACAACACTGGTTAAATGAAAAATGTATTCCAAACCTTCCAGCTATTTCTGTTTTAGTTACAATAGTGTTCCTTATTATAATATGCAAGATAAACAATGTCCTATTCAAGAAAGAAATGCAAACTTGGCTTTTAAAGCACAACATTTCTTTTTCAAATGAGATGCTAAAGTCAAAAGTATGTAAATTAAAATAAGCTGCAAACAATCAACTATCAAATTGACAGATTTATTGGATAAGCAAAATCACCATATTTCACTTCCTCTGTAACATCCAGACTTGAAACCAATAGAGTCAATTTCGACAGGTTTGACAGTAATTCAAAAAACATAATGTGGCATTTAAATTAGATGACATCAAAAAATTGTGAGAAAAGCAATTCTCACAAATTGAAGAAACTGAATAAAACAAGATGCAGGCATGTTAGAGACTTAGAAGAAAAATTTTGGCAGAACAAAAGACTAATGGATGTAATAACCAAAGATTCAATAATTTAGAAGAGAACAATAGCAAAAGTAAAACTGATAATTCAGAAAATGAAGATGATTTAAATAAATTAGAACTAGGTGATTATGATTATTTTTTATTATTTCTAGACAGAAATAGGTTGAAATTTTGGTTATATTTTATTTTACTGCAAATAGAATATATATATATTTTATTTGTAAAAGAAATGAGATATACACTATGATGTTTTGTCATATATTTCCAATTTTCAATTCAATAAAATTACATAAAGCTTTCTCTAAACAAAATTCATGTATAACAAGAAGCTTAATTAGACAAAATATAAGACTATTTTTATAAATAATAGTTTTATGATTATTAAAATTAAAATTTGCTTTAATGCTTTTCTAATGTTTTGAAACATTTAATATTAACAGTAAATAGAATAAGCAGTTTCATTCACTAATTCATAACCAGTTAATCACAATGTACCTTTTAAACTTTTAAAGTTCAAGAACTCCTTTGTGGTAATGCACAACAATGTTGTTAAAGATTCATCAAATAATCCATTTCCTTCACTAAGTAAATAAATTGGTCCCTGCTACTGTGCATTTTTATTGCCTGGCAAAGATTCATAAAGTAAGTTGTATATGAATTAGCAATTATCAATAATAAATTAATTTTATTTACTGCAAATTAAAACCTCAAATGAAGTTAATTCATCAGAATGAAGAGAATGAAATAATAAATATAATCTATTGTATTGCTAACCCTTCCTTTCAATTTTATATTCAATGCATAATTTTTTCATTTCTCCATTGGAAAAATTAAATTATATCTAATGTCACCAATTGATTTATGGCTTTAGCTTCTCCCTCTAACCTCTTAACCCTTTGCCATCTGCAAAAACATAAATCTGCATATAACAATCCCATATAAACAAGGCTAGTGTATATCAATATGGCTTATTTGATGAGATTATTAATTTCATATATATACTTACTGAAAAGCAATACAGTAAGTTCTTGGATTACAATGGTTTAATGTATTGATACTTACTTGAATTTTCTATTAATCTCTTATTTTTTAAAAAATTTTGGAAAATTAACATAAAGATCCCATTATCAAAAATCATATTAACTAGGTAGCATTACTGGAAATCTATTCATTACTAAGAAACAGTAAATTCAAAGTCTGTTTCCAGCAGACATTTAAAAAAATAGATATGAAAAATGAATAACTTCTGTATAAGTATATTAGATAACTTCCATTTGGATGATATAGGACATCATCATCCATGCTATTTGGAAAGAGATCAATCAAATTGTTTGAATAAAGTAAGGCTAAAAGTATAGCTTATAATGCTATACTTTTTGCCAAATAATTCTTCTGCAAGCACTATGTAAGTTACGGAATATTGTAAATGGGTAGTTGCAATTGTTCATGAAAATGAAGTTTGAGAACAAAGCCTGAAAATAACAACTGACTCAAAAATAGCAGCAACAAAATAAGAGCAACCCACATTACCATCTACAGAAACTCAATCTGTAGAAAAAATTCATAGATAATTTGCAGAGATTATGGAATATTGAGAACACCTATTCTATTAGAGGAGGAAAATCAAATTAAGCAAACAACTTTACCATATCTTAAAAAGTCAGAAACCTCTGTAATGAAAAAAAAAATGACACACAATCCATAAGGATCTTTCTCTAGTCTAATGCTTATCTATTGATACAGATTTGTAAAATTCGAAGTTTATATAATTTCATAAAAGAAGTTAATCCTTTAAATTTATAATAAATTCCTTTAACTAAAGGAATTTGGATCTACAAAAACGAAATATAAAGTGTATGAGAAATTTATAACTCTTTCTGTTTAACTATAAACATTCTCATGGTCAAACCGTGCATAGTTTACACTTACAGGCAAAATTCGTCATATTGTTGCCATTCAATCACCACCTTTAACCCCACACCTGCTAAAACAATTGATCACCTGACTAATTTTCCCACTACAAAAAGTATAAAATCCATCCTTTTTCCCCTCTCAAGGGAGTCGTCAATCGAACGAACAACGACCAAGACGGACATTAACTTCCCTTATACCTACTGTACAACCTTAATTGGAAGACCTTGGGCCCCACCTCACACCGCCTTTAGGAACAATTAAAGCCGGAATATCCATCCGATATTATCTCATATTATTGTGAACTCTCTCTCTCATCCGCGAAGTCGAAGGAGTTTTGTAAATTTTTAATTAGTTAGCAAGTTAAATAAACTCTTGTTTTGTTTTTAAATGGTGTCTTTACTCAACGTAGCCAACGTCTTATCGTTGACCCCTCTAACTCTCCTCTACTCGCATAACGCGTAACTGAATGAAATTCCATCCTTGAAAGAAAGTAGGTCACCGACCTGTGGCCAGAAGGAGAGGACTTCCCGACCTCCCTGGCGGCTCACAGATTATATACATGGATTTATATCATATTTTATGTTTATGTTAAACTTTTTTCCCACAAAATAACACAAAATCACAACTTTTGTAAGCCTGGAATGTGTCCCACTAAAATACATTGTAATCTGTGTTTGTGTGCACTGATTTGAGTGGTCATATCAATATAATCCAATACAGTAAATACAACAATATAAAACATGGATGAAATAATGAAGTAATGATAAACAAACCTCATCTTCAATTAGACTACGTTGCATAGCAGTCCAAGAATTATCTGGTTGATAACATTTTGTTGTTGCACTTCCAAAATCACATAATTTAATGGTACCTTTAGAACTCAACAATAAATTTTCTATCTGTAACACAAATTATTATTGTAAGTTTTAAAATTCTTTGCTGTGAGAAACTTTAATTCAGTTAGTCTATAAAATAATGTTATGTTAAATTAAAAATTAAAAAAATATTTTGCTGACATTAGTTCAATTCTATTAACTATTGTTTTTATTATGTATAAACTTTTTAAATTATTCATTATATAACTGCTAATACTCTTGTAATTATAATACACACTAAAATTTAATAAAATGTTCATAAAACAGTAAAAGGAAGAGCACTCTTAATTAAAATTTATAACAATTTATTTTTAGAAAACTTTTTAAATAATTACTATAGAATAAATTTTTTAAAAATATGAACAAATATAATACAGTTAAATATTTTAGACACTGAAATATCATAATAGTCACCTTGCAAACTTAGGAAAACTATGATTATATCAAAGTAGATATCAATTACTTTCACACACACAAAAAAATTATGTTAAAGTATTGTGGCTGTTAAAGTAAAAAGTAAGTTTCTTAGAAAATCTTAACAGTTGAATTCATTGTGTTTGACACTACTAGCATTGAAATTGTCCCACCTGGAAATAGTGTAAACAGCTAAATATTTGAATACATGACACAGTATTATTTTTATGGATATGATGGATAGATGAATATATATAGTAGTACAAAGAAAAAAATCTCTTGATGAGCAGAATGGTACCTTGTCATCTTCAGTGAGTATCACATTTCTGTTTAGACATCAATAATGGATGTGGCACACACTGACAACAGAGATAATCTAGTATGAATCCTGGAGCATCATGTAACTCTTGGTATCATGATGTGGGGAACTATTACTTACAAAAGTAAAATTAGCTTTAGTTGTTATTATTGGCACTCTCACTGCAATAATGTATGTTCCTGCAAATAATATTGCAACCTGTGTACCTTGCCAGGAAACATCGCAAAATTTCACTTTTTTGCAAGATAAAGAATGCATGGTCACTTACTGTAAAGAGAGTGTAAGATGTCTCAAGCAGATCTTTCTTGGACATCCCAGCCTGGATACCATCAGGTGATACCTATGTCTCATTATTCCACCAGCAACAATCAGCAAACTAAACTAAATATTTGCATGAAACATGGCTGCACATTCTTCAAAATGACATTCATCATTTAATTCTTTTTCTTTCTTGATCTCTTGCCTCACATGCTGATATGTACTGACATACTGATACAGGAGCCATAAGGCTACTGATCTTTGCCATAACTGTTCATTAAATGTTAAATGTCGTAAGAGTTTGAAATTATTGCTTTATTACATGCACATCAATCAGCACAATTACTTTGATTCATGTTCAAACCAATTTTGTAGGTGGGGTAATTTCAATGGAAGATAATATACTAATAAATTGTAAAAATATAGAAATCAAAAGTAATGTATAATCTTTAATTAATTATAAACATTATCCAATTTTACTTTTTGTTATGTTTAAACAAATGTATTAGTAATAAATAGAAACTTAAATATATTACATTAAATAATTTTAAAATTCCAATAAGGGATAATGTACTTTTAAGTCACGATGCACTATTGGAGGTATTTGTTCATGCATATGCTGAACTGCACAACATGTCTGGTAAAAGATTTGTATGACAGTTTCAAATGGCAATGGAGATTGTAGTGATCTTAGGAGATCAATCAATGGTCCACCTCAAATTAAAAGAAAAAGCAAATTAATAAATTTTAAATTTAATATAGTTTCATTTCATAATAGATTAAATATAATTAATCATAACAATTAAAACAAATTTGTTAAAATTATATTAATATTAATATGTATATTTTTATGTTAAATAACTTTATATGAATATATATTAGATGATATGTTAAGACAATATACAGTATAACCTCCAAATAGCAGACATCATCAGGACCAAGAAGTTTGTCTGCTATTCAGACGTACATACATGCCAACAGCCACATTGTATTTTAACCTAGCCATTATAAAGTGAAGAATACGATGATTACAAAAACACCAAATTTTCATTAAGAATGTGAAAATACCAAAATGAATACATAGAATATATAATTAAAATATATTTACAGTATATTACAGTAGACCCCCCTATAATTACGATTCCTATAAAACTGTGAAAAAATTGCGATGGTATCTGTAAAAACGGTAAAAAAACTCCTATAATTATGTAAAACGTCATCGGGCAGCCGAACTACTTTTCCGCCGTCCGTAGCACCACGCTATGGACATTTAGGCGGGTAAATTGAGTTTAGTTTCGTCTGTACATATAATTATATATAAATTAGGTACTGTACATATAATTATATATTAATTATATATAAATTAGGTACTGTATATATAATTATATATTAACTTAATTTATTGTAACTTTGTTATAATTATATATATATTTTCCTCCGCGTAGCGCCACGCTACGGAGAGTTTAGGCTAACTATCGTCTGTACAGTATGTAAATTAGGTACCGTAAGTCTAATACAGTACTGTAATTTTATACATTTCTTGTGAAAGAAACATTTCTTATTCAACGGCGATAAAAATTATTTATATTAATGATGTCTCCAAAGTTCAACAAAGTTTTCGCAGAAAAATAAGTTATCAGAAATCGGCCGCGATTTGGTGTACTGCTTCACGACGAAAACAAGTTTGAGCAATGGCGATGTCAAATGGTGCACACTCGGTAAGTAATCCTACAATTTTTTGTTTATAGCATAGTTTATACGGATTATTCCCAAAAAAAATATACGTATTTTGGAAATGTTGAGTCGGATTAGTCTAGAATCGATTAATTTTATAGAAGAAAACCTTTCAATCAGCCGTAGTCCGTAAACTGCACACATGTCGGGCTGTGATTGGAAGGACTCGTAAGAAATCGGATTCCTAAAGAATGGAACGTATCTATGATCTTATGGGGGGGTCAACTGTATTTTATATTATTTATCTTTTCAACTGTAAAAATCACATTTTAATTGAATTCTAAATATCAAACAGACTGCATAGGATATTTTAATTAAATGGAACATAAAATTTACGACAAAATGTAAATGGTAATTAATTATTAGTTCATGAAAGATGACCTGAGCAGAAGTAATGAAAAAGAAAAATGAAACTGTTATTATGAACAGAAGGGTTTAGGCAATGAAAGTTCAAATGTCAAATCATTATGGCAATTTGCTAGCCATTTCAAGGGATAAGAAATGTATTCAGTATTCTAGCATTTGTAATGTCATTATGATCTAAGCAACTGATAAAAATTGATTTAGTGATTTGTCTACTTTGTAGTTATGAAATAGGTGTAATTTTTTGAACATTTTTGTTTTCAATAAATGATTTATTAAAAATTACTTTAGCCACTAAAAAGCTGTTAAGATCATAAATTATGTTATATATTCGAAAAAACTGACCGAATATCTTCCTACACTTTAAAGTGATCAGCAAATTGCCTTCATAACACGATCTTTGAACTTTCATCAAATAAATGCTGTTGTCTTAATCTTAAATGGTTTCTTTTTCATTACTACTGTACTATGGTTCTTGTCAAATGAATAACTTTGGAAAAGTTTATGGTTTCTTGGTACCGTAAGTTTAATTCCAAAAATAAAACAGAAGTATAACAACATTAATATGTATGATGATAAATGGTAATTGACAACTTAATCTAATTAGTCTTCTCTAATGGATAGTATTGTTTGACTTTTTACAATCCACCCTCTTCCACTATTCCTATTTTAAGCCAGTCTTTACTCAATGCCTACTGTCAAAATTCTTCCTCTAAAAGAGTATTTGAACCAATTCTTTGTTTTAGTTTTAATACACTTTGTACATAATTAATTATTTCAGAATATTGAAGGTGGAATTTTGTGTTTTCATAAGGTAGGTTATGGATGATGGCATCAGTTATTTAGTGTGTCTGCTATTTAGAGGTGAATATAATAGATGTCCTATTGAAAAGTTTGGTGATTGTAAAAATGTCTGTTAAGTAGAGGTGTCTACTATTTAGAGTGACTATTAATGGAGGTTTCATTATTTTTTATTAATATTTGTTGAAAGATAATTTTAAAAATAAAAGAATGATTCCATTTCAACTGTTTTCTGGTGTATAGTTTTAGTTCTTTGAAACTATAAAATTATTTATTATTTGATATTTATNTATTACTACTTAATAGCAAATGAACATTTTCAAGATTTTTCTCAGCTTCAGTAAATTTGTTTAGAATAAGAAGCTGAGAAAAGTCTTGGAAATGTTCATCTGTTACCTAATTTAAGTCTTGGTTAAAATTTAAATGATGTAAAATTAATTATTTTGTGAAGAAACTGAATCATATTATGAAAAATTTATGTTTTTAATATTAGTTATAACAGTATTTCCAAAAAATATTTTAAAGCTAAATTATGCAATATGTAATAGAAATTTATTATTTGATATTTATCTAAAACATCTAAGTTTTTGTGTGTAATGATTTTGAAAACTGAATAAAAATTGTGAAGAATTCATGTATGGAAATTGTAAAAAAATGAAACGAAGAATTCACATATCATATAATTTAATGAACAAAGTGACTTAAATGCACTGAAAATCTCTTTCCATTCAAATTCTTTTATTTAAACAACATTTAATTTAAATAAAATCACAACTGAAAGTATGATTCTTATAATAGTATAATCCACTTATTTTAATCATTTTAAACATGTCAGTACTAAGTAAAACAAATGTAATGTCTGGTTTTTTGACTCAACATTAAAAGGACATGTTTTTATTAATAATACTAATAATTGTAATTGATATGTAATTAATCTGCTATTTGTTGTCTGCTAACATCTTTAACAACAGATAGTTCATAATTAAAGTAAAAAAATTCAGTCTTCAAAAGTTCAGTCTAAAAAATTTTTTTAAATTTTATTGTAAGAAAATAACAAAATAATTAGGTTTAAAGGAAGATTAAGACTGATAAAAATAATTGTTAATGATTATATGTTGAGGCTATAACACAAAAAGGACTTCAAAACTTATATTTACCTGAAGATGATAACTAAATTTTGATTACAACAGCTTAAGCTTTATAGGGATATTTTAACTTATTTGTGGGGCATGCTAATTTTGATAGCATTATATAACTGACGAGAATATCTGTGATCAGAATAAGTGGAGTCTGGAGTCTATTTTATTATGATATTTAATTGTACTGATTTTCTTTACCATATTTGTAAGAAATTATAATTTTACTTTTACATTTTCTTCTTACCAGTACATAATTCAGTCAATAACAGATATTCTGCTTTTCCATGATCAGAATGTTCCTTCTCAATACCAGCAGCTGCAATAAAGCTGATGATATTTGGATGTCCAGAAAGTTTTTTCTTGACATAATTAAGGAATAATTCAAACTGGTTTATATATGATAATAGTATAAATTAGATTACAATACTTTAAAAGTATTTGACTTATTTACAGAATTGAAATTCTCATATAAATAACTTTTAATACCTAAAATTAATTAATGAGGAAAAAAACTAATGATTCCAATTTTAGTAATTCCAACTAGTAATTAGTTATTAAAATTTAAAAAAAAATAAACTGTGAATATATTTGAATAATTTCCTGAGTTGATTCTACATTGGTTTAAAAAAACATCTATTTTAAGCCCATGTTACATGAAGAAAAACTTTGATCAAAGTAATTCATTGATTCTCCTGCTTGTTCTGAATTATAATATAATTTTTGTTCTAAAAAATATGCTTCAGAAATACTTCAAGAACAATATTTAAAAAGTCAACATTGAATGAATTGATGATATAGTATAACAAAATCAATATGATGTTAATGCTACCACTGCAATACCAAATCATAGTTGTTGTCAGTCTAAGTTTATGCATAGATGATATATAAGGACCTTGAATAAGTTCTCGCTGTTTTACAACAGATGGCGTTACCAGAACCACGTGTGTTTATTTTTAGATGGTGACACATCTGTAAGGAAGTACAATAAGCGACCTTGAAATTCAGTATACGTCATTTCACCAAAGTGTAAACAACTTATTTTTTCATTGTGTTAAACATGTCTAGTTTCGTGCTAAAAAAAGATTATTTGCGGGGNTCTAATATTAAAAAGAAGGAAATACAGGAAAGAGGGGGAAAAAAAGGAGAAGACAACAAATAAATTGACTAATAAGACAAAGAAAAGAACGTATTAAGTGCAGAGGAATCGACTACATCAGGGAAGAAACATAGGAAAGAAAAAAGAAAGGATCACTAACATGAGTAATATTTTTATAAATTTACTAGAATAAGTTATTTTAGTTTAGGAGATGTGCCATTTTGGAACCATAGGTAATATTAACCAATTTTTAAAATAAGTTTAACAAATAATGTAGCTGCTGACTTATTTAGTATCTTGTTTAAAATTTTAATATAAGTATTGCTACATTATGAATAATAATATTTGAAATTAAAATTTTACTATAAAAACTAAGTAATAGTTTTCATAATCTCTCAAAACAATTTTGATTTATGAATGTATTGATTTATTGATATATGAATATTGTACATGTTTCATTAAATAATTAAAAAGGCCATTAAATTTGAATGGCACTAATAAGTGAAATAAACTAACTAAAATATCTACATATAAACAGGAAAAACTAACCAAAAATTATTTATTTTTTTTTTATTGAATACATTTTATCAAATTTTTCAAACAAGCAAGGAAAAATGAAAATATATAAATCACTGTAGTTAAGTTAGTTAAGTTATCTTATACAGTATGTAACGTGCAAAGGCAAGAAAAGAAAAAACAAAGTATAAAAACAAGCTTACAAATAAAATCCGATATAAAAATAATAATATAAAAAATAGTAAAAAACTTACAAATCATGATACAATGTAAATAATTACTTTTATATTTGTATTATGATATAATATCTTATATTGTCATTTGTATTTCAAAAAACTTAGATGAAGTATCCCCTAAAATACACTCATAGTAAAAGCAACAGTAATAAAAAACAAATCTGAGAATTAAGAAAAAGTGTATTAAGAAAAAGTGTGAAGACAAGCTGTAAGTACTTCTAACAGGAAATCATCAAAGATGCAATCATTACAAAGAAATATAACCTCCAATAAAATGAATCATGATTTCACTAAAAATTAATATTTATATTTTATAACTAATCATATTCTATCAAACAAATTAATAAAGAACATTTTAAAATAAGTATAACTTTAGAAATAAATAAAAATAATACAGCAATTTTATCCAGAAAATTTAACACTGCTCTCTAAAATTACTAGAAACTGATATCATTATTGACTACATGAAACCTCACTAAAAATCCAAATGAAATAAAATTCCTTTAATTCATGATGCTTGAGTATTTCTTACACATGAATCACAATAAAATCAGTTTCATATAAATTTTTATGATTTTAGATTAAAATAAAGATCATTAAACGAAAAAAGTATCAATATCTGAATGATAAAATAATTTTGCTTAATATATGAATAAATAAAGACAAGCTGTTTCTAACTATTCGTTATTACAAATAAATATTTATTTTACATTTAAGAGTAGTGAAATTTATTTCGAGGCATTTGGTGGAATAGTTGTCAGAGGGAGCTATCTGATACAACTTGTGACAAAATATGCAAATTTGTTGAACAAGCCGTAAAATGTGTTTGTGCATAAATATGCAAATTATTAGGTATGACATAGTAGATGAATGTTTCTCATGGAAATATGCAAATTAATAGTTAGTGAGACGTTTGCAAAGGTTTGTCATTGCATGTTGTGTGTACTCTATGATAGTTTTCTCTACACTATTTTTATACAAAAAAGTTATTTAGGTAAAATCTAATCTTAAATTTTTTAAATTAAATATTACGATAATTTTTGTTCATTTTTAATTTTTTGTTTGATGGTAATACAGAGATAATGCGTTTTGTAGACATCAATTCCAACAAATTTTGGTCTGGTTGTACAACCTGCAAATTTTACCAGTTAATGGAATCTGAATATTTGGAATTAGGTTTGGAACCAATTATTGATAATGCATTTAAATTTGCTGTGAAGTTAGGAATACAACAAATGGATGGTGTGTGCATTTTATGTTCAAAAACTTGTAAAATATATTTTCGAAGTAATAGAAATTCTTGTCTTTTAAGATGTAGCAATTGCAGAAGTAAGTATTCTGCTTACAAAGGAACCTTTAAGGGCAAATGTGGCAATATTTCTTGGGGTGGAATTTTGTCGTTCATATGGCATTATCTTTGTTTGGAATGTACGTCAACAAATTTGGCTGTTGCTGCAGGTATTTCTAGAAAGGCTGGCATCAATTGGTCAAACCACATACATTTATTTATGCTTATAGCCTTGAATAACATGACATTATTTGAAATAGGAGGTCCTAATAAAACCATCAATTTAGATGAGACAGTAATATGCAAATGCAAGTACAAAAAAAGGACATATATTGAAATCTACATAATGGGTCATAGTAGGAATATGCAGAGAGGACAAAAATTGCTTTATTTGTCAAGTGAATGATAGATCTGAAATCACCCTAAATTGGGTTGGGTATAAATTTGTAAATTTTGGTAGTCTAATTATCACCGATGAATGGAAGAGATATAACCACATCGACAGCATTGAAGGAATAGATATTGAACATAGAACAGTTAGTCATTCAAAAAACTTTGTAAACCCCAAAACAGGTGATCATACTCAAAACATTGAAAGGTTATGGGTTATTTAAAAAATAAAAAATAACCTGCCAAAGCATTACACGAATGATCTGTCAGACTCATACATGTATTTGTTTATGTAAAAGAAGTTCATGAATTGGCCTGCTAAAAAACCAAGAGAAAGATTTCAAATATTTATAAAACACTTAGTATGATATATCCAGGTACTGGAAGAATGCCAAAATGGCTGGAACCAGAGACAGTTCCCACTGCACCAGTTTCTAATATTAAAAAGAAGGAAATACAGGAAAGAGGGGGAAAAAAAGGAGAAGACAACAAATAAATTGACTAATAAGACAAAGAAAAGAACGTATTAAGTGCAGAGGAATCGACTACATCAGGGAAGAAACATAGGAAAGAAAAAAGAAAGGATCACTAACATGAGTAATATTTTTATAAATTTACTAGAATAAGTTATTTTAGTTTAGGAGATGTGCCATTTTGGAACCATAGGTAATATTAACCAATTTTTAAAATAAGTTTAACAAATAATGTAGCTGCTGACTTATTTAGTATCTTGTTTAAAATTTTAATATAAGTATTGCTACATTATGAATAATAATATTTGAAATTAAAATTTTACTATAAAAACTAAGTAATAGTTTTCATAATCTCTCAAAACAATTTTGATTTATGAATGTATTGATTTATTGATATATGAATATTGTACATGTTTCATTAAATAATTAAAAAGGCCATTAAATTTGAATGGCACTAATAAGTGAAATAAACTAACTAAAATATCTACATATAAACAGGAAAAACTAACCAAAAATTATTTATTTTTTTTTTATTGAATACATTTTATCAAATTTTTCAAACAAGCAAGGAAAAATGAAAATATATAAATCACTGTAGTTAAGTTAGTTAAGTTATCTTATACAGTATGTAACGTGCAAAGGCAAGAAAAGAAAAAACAAAGTATAAAAACAAGCTTACAAATAAAATCCGATATAAAAATAATAATATAAAAAATAGTAAAAAACTTACAAATCATGATACAATGTAAATAATTACTTTTATATTTGTATTATGATATAATATCTTATATTGTCATTTGTATTTCAAAAAACTTAGATGAAGTATCCCCTAAAATACACTCATAGTAAAAGCAACAGTAATAAAAAACAAATCTGAGAATTAAGAAAAAGTGTGTTAAGAAAAAGTGTGAAGACAAGCTGTAAGTACTTCTAACAGGAAATCATCAAAGATGCAATCATTACAAAGAAATATAACCTCCAATAAAATGAATCATGATTTCACTAAAAATTAATATTTATATTTTATAACTAATCATATTCTATCAAACAAATTAATAAAGAACATTTTAAAATAAGTATAACTTTAGAAATAAATAAAAATAATACAGCAATTTTATCCAGAAAATTTAACACTGCTCTCTAAAATTACTAGAAACTGATATCATTATTGACTACATGAAACCTCACTAAAAATCCAAATGAAATAAAATTCCTTTAATTCATGATGCTTGAGTATTTCTTACACATGAATCACAATAAAATCAGTTTCATATAAATTTTTATGATTTTAGATTAAAATAAAGATCATTAAACGAAAAAAGTATCAATATCTGAATGATAAAATAATTTTGCTTAATATATGAATAAA